TTTTTTTTTTTTTTTTGTCAAAGCAGATGGGGGATTTGAGCATCTGTGCTTTAACAGAGTGACTCAGATGATAACCGATGGCAAAAAGGAAAGCTAATTCAAACAGCATACAGCAATTTAGATGCTCAGGCTGGCAGGGGAATTGATATAAAGATTTCAATCAATTCCTGTTTGAGATAAATTCATTGCATTTTATCCTTATTCGCTCCTATTTTTGTTATTTGGAAACCATAACTTCCTGTTTGAGGATAAAAAATGTGATTACTGTTTGATTTAAACTGACCAAAGATGCTTAAGGGTGAAAAAAACAAGATTAAAGCAGACAGAGTCAGAAAATCACATCAGACTCTAAGTGTTGAATTATATCGGGATAAGACTACACTGTGGAATAGTAGTGTAACTAATAAGGAGCGTGGTTGAAATTCATTGAGTAAATGACCCATTTTGAGAGGATTTTATTTTTTCATAGATTAGAACAAAGTTGAATTCTGTTACACAGTGAAATGAACAGTTAAACTTCTAATTATCACAATTTAAAAAGCAGTATATTTGTAATTTATGGAAGATTGTTTTTCGATTTCTGAAATATGTAATTTACTGCTAGAGGTAGGTGCAAAAATCACAGGCGGTCCCAGTGGAACCACTGATATAATGCTTCTCTATAGTCAATTATAATGATAGTTGTAGAATATTACAAACTACTTTTTGACCATTGTTGAGAAAAGGAATAGAAAAAAAAAAAGAATAATCTCAGTATAAACTGATTTAGTTTGAGAGTGTCACCTTGGACAAATCTGCAATAACTACGAAGCTCCAAACTTCTTTTTTAGGGACTTATGTTTGTATGATATATACATTTTCATTTTCCTATAACTTTTATGTGCAGATTAATATCCACAAACCTGCACACCTGTTTCCTGTCAACCCTCAGGCTATCTGACATAATCGTTGAATCATTTTGTCATACAATTGTCTTCTAAAGAGACATGTGATATGCATCTTATGTTGTGCTGCAAGTAGGAGCTGGTATATTTAGCACTACCAGACCATCCAGTTTCAGGGACAGGAAGGGACAGTGGCACTTTCTGAATGAGTTCAGCATGAAGGACGAGAAACTTCCACATCAAATGCTTCAGCCATTAAAACATGAAGCCTGGCCTTATCCAAGAATGTTAAGATGTGGATAAATAAATAAAACATTGCCTCTGTGAGAGGGGAGGCGATGTGACAGCGGGGGATTTTTCCCCTGGCTTTCATGTTGGCAGGCACAGGCATTTATTTTTGGATGAATCAAAAATTCCTGAAAATGCCTGTGCCAGGTGTATCTAATTATCTGACAGCGTATCCTCATTATAAAGCAGCCCATGGGAGCGGGCGACTAGGATTGCCGCACCCTGGACCACAACCAAGGTGTTCTTTTCATCACAAACAAAGGGATGATGCTACATAGCCTGCATCTATCCTTTTCTTTTTTACCCTTTTACAGGTCAGTTTTCACACATGCAAGAATACAACACATGATTTCTATATAGTACGTCATAAACTGCATGACAAATATTATTTGGTATAGAAAAAATTCTGATAAATGTGCAGTGAGCAGTGAAATACAGCAAGAGATTTATGAGAGGGAAATTATTTTTTCTTCTCTTTGATCAGCAAGTAGTTTACAAAGATATCTTTTATAAA